GGCGAATTATAGTCGGCGACCATAAAACCTTATCATATTTGTCGTAATATAAGCGGAACGTTTAAAGGAAATAATCCCTAAAACTTCATACATTTTAGGAACCGCTTTTCTCCTTGAAAGAAGATAATATTTATAGAGGCAAGAGAGACTAGAAGCTAACCTGTTACGAAGCCCTTGCAAAAAGGCATCGACGACCTCCTGGATCTTGAAATAATCTGCTGACAACGTGGGTGATAAGAGCTGATATCCGTCTTTTAGGGTTTCAGATAGGTAGCGAGGATGTCGTATCTTCCCGTTGAGCTCGCTCATCCTGTTTTCTTCTCTAGTATCCATTTTCTCATCCTTCATGATCACTTTTTTATCCTGCTTAGCTGTCCTCTCTTTGGTTGAACCTTCCTGTTCTTCCTCCTGAAAGTTCTTGTCTGCAGAGTAAGTGTGCATAGCTGAATCATTTCTACCCAGCTCCCAATCACCATCACCATCGCCAGCACTATCACCAAGTTTAGCCTGAACACTACTGAATGGAAAATCATCAGCTGATCCAGAGAGCGCAAGAGGCTCTGGAAATTGAGGAGTTTTCAATTCGAAGTGTTGGTCCACAGTTTCGGCCGCTCGCCAGGGCTGATGTTGAAGCAGCTGACGGAGAATCAGTCCGGCTTTTGCTGGCAAGAGACTGGGCACAAGGACTGGATCTGAAAGGATCCGATAGATGCGTCATTTTACTAGGCTCTAGTGGGGCAAACATTCTAGAGTCAGTTCAGAATAAGAATAAAGAAAATGCAGTGGGTGGCACATTTTAGGTGAATCTCATAAAATATTATTGATAAGCTGAATTTAACTGAGCGTGAAAATAGTAAGGAGGCTTGCAGGTCGAGCCAACCCAAAAGCGTCTGTAGATTCCGCTTGGCCTGCATTATTTTATTTTGCTTACATGCTCAGGCTGATTCAGCCCTCAACAAAATCCTTTTGAGCTCCTAAGAAAAAGTGCTGAGTCTTCGTCCCTCTATAAACAGACATAATTAGAGCCGGACCTCAATTTTATGGCAACTTCGAACGAATACAAAGTTAATAAAACTAACCAGATAATCCATACACGTCAAGCAAAAGTAAGTTTTTGGAGTTATAGAATGGTTTGGTAAGTTCATTTTAATATGTGTGTGCATGCATGTGTGTAGGTGTGTATGTATGACTGTTCATAATAGTAAATCCACCAGTGATGATCTGAGTAATTGTAACGAAAACAGCATCTGCCCTAGGCCATCAAGGCTTAACTATCTGTTTCCAACTGACGAAAATACAACATTAAGCCTACATAATACCAAATGCACGTCTTGTTGCGTTGATAAGCTCTCTGTGTAAAATCACACGTTAGAAAATGAGCTAATAGTAATTTACACTATAATCAAGCATACTTACTGAGACACCTTGTGTTTATAGGTGGCCAAATAACTCAACCTCTAACTTCATCGCCTAAGCAAATTAAAACTTAATTGCCTGTTTACATTTCCCACTAAATTTTAAAGATTCCCCCATCTGCTTATTTAGATGACGCTATCACTCAGCAATAAGCATACTACGAACAGGAAGCAGATGGCGTTCCTAAAACGCATGTCCAATACACACCATATGTACAGCAGCCTCTAACCAGTAAATACAAAAGTCCGTACAAATGCCTTGGTATTCCGAAAAGCCAGTCCTCAGGCTCTAAGTAAAATATGTCATAACACGTAATAGTAGCGATACGTTGCAATAAGTTAAAAATTTTCGTCGTTTTCTAGTAGAAGCAGCCTAAGAATCTTTTTTATCACAAACTTTACGCAAAAAGAAAGTCATTTGAACAAGGATAATGCCATTTGCTTAAATTATCCCATTTAGGCACTGTTTTCGTTACCGAAATTGTATTTTCAACAATAATCTTCTAGGCATTGTAATCATCCCCTTATATGTGGCCAAGCCACAATAACAACCTCCTTTTTCATGGTAAACACAAAAAGTGAGAATGATTCCAAAGTTCTCGACTATTTCATACTCATCAATTATCTAAGCTGTTTAATCGAAGGTATAAAGACCAAGATGGTGTGGCCTTTTGTGTGGTCGCAGTCTCCTTTCATTGTATAGAAGGTGTTCGACCTTGTTTTCGTAACTTGGTCATATTGGTAGGAAGACTTAGAGGAACGCACCTAGTCCGGAGTCCATT